CAGCCTAGCTACTCAAAAAACAAGAACAATATCCAGGATTTTCTTTCAAAAATAAAAATAGTTTAAACAGAAGATACCGGGCATTCAGATTGTGTTGACCAATTGCACTGCTCAAATGAAGAACAATGACTATATCCTTGGCAGGGCAAGAGCATCAGTAAGAACTTATCGCAGGTGTAACAAAAACATGATGAAATAAAACTGGTCTGTATCTTCATGTAAGTGGAAAGCCCAGAGACATGTTAGAGTCTAAGCACAGCTGGTACTATGAGTACCAAAACAATGGTGTAGGTACCCTTGCTGTCTCCATCTTTCAACTGATTCTTCAAGTGATGGACTATTGGGTCCCTGCAGACCCAACTCACGTCTAAACAACCTCATCTCACACATACACACACATACACACACACACACACAAATGTGGATGAGTCTATATGATTCTAATTGTCTCACCCCTTCACAGTCATGTGAAAAAGGAAATGTTCCAAATGGTAAGACTTGGAATAAAGATCCATTCCTATGCCTGGGAAATAATCGTAGGCATTTCCAGCCTGCCTCCAGAAAAGATCTAGTCTTTTCAATGCAATGTTACAAGTTTCTTGTTTACATGTATGGTTTTAGAACATACACAGAAATAATACAGTAGGGGTGCTTCTTAAACGTGATAGCAAATTTTGCTGTTAATGTTAATTGAGAGTGACATATACTATTACTATATACTTTCCTTTCCCTCTAATTCTTGTTTTTAAAGTCTTATTTTATTTATTTATTAAATATTTATTTGTTAGAAAATCACAGCAACAGAGACAGAGAGAAGAGATCTTTCATCTGTTGGGTCACTCCCCAAACATCCACAACTCTCAGGGCTGAGCCAGGCTGCAACTAGGAACCTGGAACTCCATCCAGGTCTCCACTAAGGATGGCAGGGGTCCAAGTATTTCTGCCATCATCTGATGCTGGATCTGAAGTGGAACAGCCAAGAATGGAGCCATTGCTTATATGGGATGCCAGTGTTGCAGATAGGGCTTAACAACTGTGCCACAGAGATGGCCCCTATTTTATTAATTTGAAAGGCAAAGTGACAAAGAAAGAGAGAGATATCTTTAATCTGCTGCATGACTTTACAAATGTCTGCAAAAGCCAAACCTGGGTCAGGCTGAAGTCAAGAGACAGAAACTCCATCTTGGTCTCCCTCAGGTTGCAGAGACACAAATACTCTGGTTACCATCTTCTGCTTCCCAGGTGCATTCGAAAGGAAGATAGATCAGAAGCAGGGTAGCTGAGACTTGTAAGGGCACCCCAAAATGAGAAACTGGTATGGCAAGGAGTGGAATGACCTGCATAACACAATGCCCAGCCCTGCTCTCTAATTCTTGAAAGGAGTTACAGTGTAAGAGTATGACACAAACTACATCACATACTTGAATTCAGGATTCATAATTAAGCTTTCTCATAGTGAGGATGCAAAATTTTATTTATAGCATTCTAAAATATAGGTGTCATCGTTGAGCATCCTGGAAGAGATTGTATTGCCAGTATCCTATAGGAATAATAGTAGGCAAATGCTCTTTCTTCATCTGATCAATAAGGTGTGATGGGGTTAAGTGACTTCTATCAGAAGACTAATGGTTTATTCTCTATAAAAGCTCACTGCAAGGCCAGTCTTTGGAACAGTTTCAGAAGGAACCCTTCATTTTACTTTACAGGGCATAGTCACATGGGTACTCAGTCAAATCTCTACTTCTTTTGAACTTGATTATGTCTACAATCAAAATAATTTGTATGAAATCAAAAGGAATAGAATTCAGAAGTAGGCAAGGAAAGTACTGTCACTATACCAGATTCTCTACTCAAATTCTGAGATGTCAGCTTTCAGAAAGCATAGCCCAGGTCAAATTTCTCTGGAATATTTACTTCTTATTTTTCCTACAGTCTCAGTAAGTGGCTCTTGTCATATGTAAAGTGATTCTCAAACATTAAAAAATCTCAGATTACACATTCTGTTCTTTGCATTTATTTTGACCAGCTGTCAGAGAAAACAATTTATTTTTCCCCTTAGTTTTATTCCTCTTGACTCTGTGGCTTCTGCATGAAATTTGAATGGAAAATGAAAGGTACAACCTGGTGTGTTTCATAACAAAGACAACATATAATTTTCTTTAAACAGGATAACCTTCAGATTACTTTCAAATTGCTTATGGTTTAATTGTTGTATCCTATTTCACTACCTTTGAATCTCGATTTTAAGTGGAAATTTTGGGGATACAAAGTAAAAAAATGGAAAAAATCAGTATTTCATTGTTTTGATCTATTTTAATATTATACCATAAGTGTCCTAGCAGAATTTTAAAGTGAATCTAAATTTGATATTTTAGCATGTCAGTTATTAAAAAACCCACAAAACTCACACTTTTTGAGTTATATCACATCCTGATTTTATACAGTTTCTCCTTTTTTGATCAAAACAAAAAATATAAATATAAAATTCATATTCTTTAAAAATTTTATGCCTTTTCAAAATGTGACCAGGATTCAATGAATTTGTATCAAATAATAAACTCACTCCTTCACTTTCAAGATACCAAGCAGATATGTGTGCTGCGGCCTTTGGAAATGCTCTTTAATGCAGAGCCCAGCAGAGTGAATCTGAAGTGCAAAAGCAGTTCTTCAGGTGTCCGCTACTTAGCGGTAATAGGAAGCTTTTTCAGAGGTTACAAAACTGGGGATTAGCAGCATACCAATTTACAGGTGGGCCACTCCTAAACACTTACACTTCATTTACTGACCAGCAAATCATTATTCCAAAGGCTTGATTCACTTGTAGCCCCACTTAGGTTTTAAATCGCATTTCAGAGCACTCCTGTCATTCATCCATCTTCAGAACTACCATTAGCAGTGATGGGAATTGGCACAAAAATCAATGAAAGGATATGATATGAGTTCTTCCTAATTTTCCTTCTTCAAGCACCACCTTAGGTACAGAATGTGAAAACTTTTTAAATTATTTTTTCTATCTTATTACTATTTTGAGTAAATTGAGTTCATGAACTTTTGATATGAATTTCTGTAGTTTTTTTCTGAAAAGATTTGTTCTGAAGTCATTTTTAAACCTAATTAAAACATTTTATCATTGATATCTATCATCAACTTTTTTAATATTTTGAAAATATGGGCCTAGATTTGCCATTGTAATCTAAATCTATTTTTTATTTTATTTTATTTATTTAGTTTATTTTTTATTTTTGACAGGCAGAGTGGACAGTGAGAGAGAGAGAAAGAGAGAAAGGTCTTCCTTTTGCCATTGGTTCACACTCCAGTGTCCGCCGCGGCCAGCGTGCTGCAGCCGGCACACTGCGCTGATCCGATGGCAGGAGCCAGGTACTTATCCTGGTCTCCCATGGGGTGCAGGGCCCAAGCACTTGGGTCATCCTCCACTACACTCCCTGGCCACAGCAGAGAGCTGGCCTGGAAGAGGGGCAACCGGGACAGAATCCGGTGCCCCGACCAGGGCTAGAACCCTGTGTGCCGGCGCCACAAGGCAGAGGATTAGCCTAGTGAGATTGCATTAGTTATGCTATGCTGTTATTACCTTCTAGTAACTATTTGTGAGTGCGTTTGACTTTCTTTTCTCAGAGTAGTCAAAGAATTTTATGTTATTTACCCTAGTTTTGAAGAGCAAGATAGCACTATTTTACAGGTAAAGAAAGGAAAACAGCAAGCTTTGATTGCCTAGAGTACTTATTTTTGCATATGGTGTTTTCAATTCTTTACCAATACCTAAAAATTGTCTTATGAACTAGATTTATTCTAGAAGTATTCTGTCTACACATCTACAAGGAAGTTTAACTTTAGTTCTCCACTTTAAAGCATTACATTACAATAAAATAGCTTTATTTGCTATAGATCATCTCTACAATTTTGCTAACGGAGCAAAACAGCCTGTACTTACTTGAAGAAACTCCAGTATGTGCTCCTTTTGTTCTCTGTTGCCAGATAAAGTAATTGATTGGAGAAGATATTCAGGGAGTCATGGAATTTTTCTTGGTTTCTTGAAAATCTCTAAGTGTAAATATGTTCTCATTAAAAATAATAAAAGCCTGTGATTATGACATATCAAAAATAAATAAAAATGTATATATATTTATAATGGCATTATTTTGTTTGCCTATGTATGTTTCACATATATATATAATTGCCACTACAAGGAGTATGCCATTATGAGGGGTTTTATAGGAATGTAGACCAAAAATACTACAGAAAATATGATATAAACAGAATAATGCATTAACAATAGTTTTTCTGGGTGGTGGTGAGATTAAAAATGATATTTATGTCTGCCTATCTGTGATTACTTTAAAATTCCCTCTCATGAATGTACAAATTCTTAAAGTCAGAAATTAAAAAAAAAGAAATTTACTGGCTATATTAAGATTTCCCAACATAAATCTCTTAGATCTTCTATGAACTTCCCCAGAAAGTATATAACCTCAGTGCAATGGTCAATTATGTAGCTCAGCCAGAATATTCAAAAGGAATTTTATCCACTTTTACTATTTTTTCACTTATTTCAATTGTCTCTCTGAAGATATTTTTGCTTCCCTTCAGAACTGGCATATGAACCTAAGTAGGTGTAAAAGTGTTAAAAGAGAACTTGACTGTAAACGCAATGCTCTGGAAGATAATACATACAGGAGTGTTGGAGGAAGCAAAAATGAATTGAAGACAGTGATGAGGTTTGTGGCCTGGATGGTAGCATCTGTGAAAGTCAGCAGATGAGAAATGTTGATTAGATGAGCCTATGGGTTTCAGGGTGATAGGAATGTTGAGGAGGAGACAATGTGGTAGTGAGCATGAAAGTGTGATCCTGTCAATAAAGAGATGCGTTTTGCCATAGACAATGACACAGATAGCTTACAAAACTCATGCAGTCTGTGTTTTATTGTCATCAGCATTTGAATTAAACTTTGAAATTATATTTTATTTTTTGAATGTTTCACCAGGAAATGCATCTACAACCACAACTGTGATAGACAGCAAAAATGGATCTGTGCCCAAATCCCCTGGAAAAGTGCTGAAGAGGACAGTCACAGAAGATCTCGTGACAACCTTCAGCTCTCCTGCAGCCTGGCTCCTGGTCATCGCTCTGATTATCACGTGGTCAGCAGTTGCCGTTGTTATGTTTGATTTAGTGGATTACAAAAACTTTTCAGGTAAGAACCAAAACATTTAGCTTTCAAATAAGAAGAAACGATGTTCTCTCCAGTTATGGCTTTGTTTCTCATCATCGTATCTTAATGAGAGAAATAAAACACCCCATAGATATGCTGAAACTCCTTTAAGTAAGTATCCTTCATTCCTTTTTCCTTCTGTTCTCTTTCTTGGTGTTCTGTCCTCATTGATTTAAAAATGACATTGACATCCATATTTTTAGAATTGAGTAAAGGCCCAAGATCATAGTTTCCAAATAATAATAATTTTAAAAGTTGAGTGAAGATTTAGTTTTGGAACTGATACTTTATCAACCAATAATAAACATTGTTTTTAGGTTTTTTGTTTGGCAATATAAAACAAAATAAAAAGAACTCTGAACACGTGGAAAATATACTTTTAAGCCCCTCTGTCATTTGGCCCCAAACTTCCTTTCTAGATAATTTTTTTTTTGCTCCTCCTATGAAACTATACTATTTTGCGTTCCTGAGAGTATTGTTTAAAGGATTTTCCTAGTACTTATCAGCATTGAGGTAATATACCTTGAGTGTCCATACGTCCTTAAAAATTTGGAGTAAAATAGAAATAATATGAGGGTGTTTCAGAAGCTTTGTGTATAAACAGAATTAAAATATGCTTATTCTGGTGCCAAGATATTTGAAGTTCATGTTTTTTTTGTAAGACATGTATTGCCATGAACTGTTGAAGACTGTCTCATACATGTTAGAGAAGACAGATTTTCAAAATGTCCCATTCAATCAGAGAACATTATTGTCTCTTTCTTCAAAGACTTTTAGTGTTTTTAAATTTCTATTTATCTGTTTCCCCATCGGATACCCTCTATTGACTGTGAATCCTTACAACGAGGACTCATTCAGTAGCTCAAGAAATATTAAATGGATGAATGATGTATACTCATCACTTTTTACCATAAGCAAATTCATTTCATTAAGCTCTTTTTTTTTAAATTTTTTTCCAAGCAGAGTTAGACAGTGAGAGAGAGAGACAGAGAGAGAGTGAGAGAGAGACAGAGAGAGAGGTCTTCCTTCCGTTGGTTCACTCCCCTAATGGCCACTACGGCCAGCGCTGCACTGATCTGAAGCCAGGAGCTGGGTACTCCCTCCCAGTCCCCCAAGCAGGTGCAGGGACCCAAGCACTTGAGCCATCCTCCACTACCCTCCCGGGCTACAGCAGAGAGCTGGACTGGAAGAGGAGCAACCAGGACTAGTACCCGGTGCCCCAGTCGGTACTAGAACCCGGGGTGCTGATGCCACAGACAGAAGATTAGCCAAGTGAGCCATGGCACCAGCCTCATTAAGCTCTTAATGCATGTTTTAAAATATGAACTCTTCCCTCTCATTTGCTTTCTCCAGTAGGACTAGAGTCAATAAGACCTAAATTATATAAATTGTGTAACTTGAATTCTACCAACACAATAACACCCTTTTTACTCACTCAATAATTAATCAGCAAGTATGCACTATATGTGCTGTGAAGCAACAGTGACACAGACGTTAAAATAAATATAAATATCATGTAGTCATAAGCTACTCTTTGGACTTATCAACATGGAGATGTAATTGTGACACCTCTGCCAGCTGTATGATCAATTATACTATACTGGTCATCAACTAACAGGTAGAGATAAGTCCTACGACAGTCAAGCAAAGCAGAACAGCTGTTTATTCAGAGCCAAACATGTCTGCTCTAAATAGGCAATACATTTAGTGTACCAAGTAATTTAGGCTCAAAACATATAGAGGTGAAATGCTGATATTATAAAATTATGATGCATTTTTAAATAGAAAAATTATTTTGCTCTAGGAAATTTCATTCCATGAGCCTGCTTTGACTATAAATTTCATCTCTTCCTACTTATTTTGGCATTCAATTTATTTAAATTTTGGAATGAAACATGATCATAAAATATGATTCTTTCATTTATGTGATATGTATATTTTAAAATTGCATGTAAATCGAATATTCTGAAAGTTAATAATTTTAACTACAGAAATTATCATTGAAAGATATTTGTTCTTTTTTAAATAAAATTCACAGTTCCCTACAATTAGGTTTTCAGATTAGATTACTTAAGTATCAGACACTCTTGTAATCCAGAGTAGATCTTCCGTGGACCACTGTAATTAGGTTCTATGGATAACAACTGTTACTGGCATTTCATCCGATAGGGGAAAATGTAGCCTCTGTATTACTACCACGTCATTTCTTTTCTCAGTAATTAAGCACATCTTTTCTGTGAGGTCTCCTATTTTGTAAATTATCTATTACCTGAAAAAAACTAACCTGTAAATCATTTTTAATTGTCTTCAGTACTTGAATAGTCATCATGTTCTTTACTTGCTAACTCTCATAAATTCGACCTTTCCTCTCATTATAATCACCTCCCTTACTACACTTTCTACTTTTATCCTCTTTTGAAGATACAATTTCTTACCTCTCTCATTTTCTCTTCCCATTAATAGTGATCTAAATATATCTTCATAAAATAAATTTTATCAACTATTTACTATTTCCTAAGTACCACAAACTCCTTGGAATGAAATTCATGTCTTTGTCTAAGCTCCTCACATTTCATCTTGAAAGTCAGTAAATGCTCCTAGTTTTCCAGCCATAAATACAATTGCTTTTCCCTGTGGTCCTGGAAAAACTCATACTGACATTCCTTACTGCTTCTGCTCATACCATTCTCCCTATCCCTAGCCCAGGTCCCAGGAAAACTGAGGGGATAAATGGTTGCATAACCAAGAATGTGAACTCTGGTATTTGATTTTCCTGGTATTAAATCCAGACCTACTATTTGCTAGCAGTGAGACATTGGGGAAAGTATTTAATCTCTCCACATCAGGTTTATCATCTAAGAAGTAGGGAATATGATAATACTTATGTAGTAGAATTAAGAGAGTTGTATGACAATATATTTGAAGTACTTAGAACAGAACCTGGTTTATCACAAGCCATATCACTAGGAGTAGAGATTCATTCTTCAATTTTCTATCTTGAGAAGGCTTATCCATTTTTAAGACCTACCCTTGCTTTTGTGAAATATTATTAGACTTTATAAAAAGAGTGTACTACACCATGCTTTGACTCCTTTATATGCACATTATAAAAATTATTCTTTTATCTGAAAGGCAGAGCAACAGAAAGAGGGAGAGAAAGAGAATGAAAGACTTTCCATCCACTGACCCACTTCCCAAATGCCCACAATAGCTAGGTCTATGCCAGGCTGAAGCCAGGAGCCAGGAACTCCGTTCTCATTTCCCACATGTGTGCATAATAAATCACTTCAGAATTAAATGGCTTAAAATAACAATAAACAATTATTACTTCATACATTGCCTTCGGATCAGGAATGTGGAAATTGCTTAGCTAGATGGCTCTGCTGTAGTCTCTCTTAAGATTGCAAAAGTTGGCTATGGCTGTCTCAAAGACTAACAGGGGTGGTGATCTATTGGCAAGCTGTCTCACTCACACAGTTATGAGTTGATACGGATGTGCCCTCGCAACATGGCTGCTGGCTTCTCCTAGAATGAGTAATCCAAGAGAAAGCAAGGAAGAAGCTGTTAGGATCTGTACTTGGAAATACCTCACTATCGTTTCTGCAAAAATCTGTTAAGTTACACCATTTATTCATTATTGGAAGAGACTACAGAATGCTGTGAAACCACAGATTATTTGGGGACCTTTCTGAAGGCTGTATCCCACATGTTTCATTTTCAGAAATGTATATTGCCAAGTTATATATCTTTAGATAAATATTCAGAATTAGCAAATGTCATACAAGACACTTGACAAACAGATATTGTAATTTAAACAAAGAAACCAAGATGTGTTAGGATTGTTGGTATCACGGGGCCATATCTAGCAAGATAAAAATTCACCAATGGATTAGAAACAAGAAAGTAATCACAAAGCCTGAAATTTTAAAGGAAACTAAAATTCTTTACATATGAAATTCAAATAGTGTTAGCTAACTAAAATTTACAAGACCAATTTCTAGAACTAAAAAGAAATAAGTTAAAGGATAGTACACTATAAAATAAACCTGTATTTCATTGATCTTTAATCACTTATATTAAATTTTTCATTCCATTTATTCATTTAGCAAATTATAACTTACTTTTTAAAATATTGATTCTTCATAGAAAAAAAATTTGCTTCAATAAGTTCCAAAAAGTAAATAACACTCTTACGTATTTAAAGTTAATTTTAATTGATATAGGTAAATTTTTACTGGGGATTAATAATATTATTATGAGTCTTTTGTACTATACAATAGTCTGAAATATGTAATTGTCAGTATCTAAAAAACAAGGCTATTAGTGGAAGAAAACATACTGGAAGTGATTCTGGAAGCAACTGCTTGTCATTGGGTTTTTTTTGTTTGTTTGGTTTTTGTTTGTTTGTTTTTTTTTGTTTATTTGTTTTATGACAGGCAGAGTGGACAGTGAGAGAGAGAGACAGAGAGAAAGGTCTTCCTTTGCCATTGGTTCACCCTCCAATGGCCGCCGCGGCCCGCGCGCTGCGGCCTGTGCACCGTGCTGATCCGAAGGCAGGAGCCAGGTACTTATCCTGGTATCCCATGGGGTGCAGGGCCCAAGCACTTGGGCCATCCTCCACTGTACTCCCTGGCCACAGCAGAGAGCTGGCCTGGAAGAGGGGCAACCGGGACAGAATCCTATGCCCCGACCGTGACTAGAACCCGGTGTGCCAGCGCCGCAAGGCAAGGATTAGCCTAGTGAGCCGCGGCGCTGGCTGTCATAGGGTCTTAAATAACTCTCTGACACATTAGAAAATTAGGGGAACACTTTGAAGTCATTAAAAAGTTGTTAACAGAGATATAAAAACTTACTTTATTAATATATACTATACTAGATTGAGAAGAATTATTCTATTCTGGGCAATCTTCATAAGTGTTTATTTTCAAAATTTAATCTGATGTACACATATATTGTCAACTTTTGACATCAAAAGAATTGGT